CCGAATTTACAACGTTTTTCAGATCTTTATAGAATTTTATGTGAATATCTAATTTAGTAGTTTTACTTTTAGCGTATGCCCTATCGCGTAACTTCATCATTTCTTTAATAGTATAGGTTATCCATGGATGTGATTTATTTCTTATTAAACAAGTTCTCATAGGAGCATGAATATTAAAAAGTTCAAGTGTTATTTTTGTAAAATTTTCCACCATTTTATTTAAATCATCATTTATTACATTTTCCCATTCTATACATTCCAGGTCCAGATTAAAACTGTTAATGTCAATTTCTCTTAATGGTCTGTAAGTAATTAATTTAGGAGGTCCTCTAATATTTTTAATATTTAACTGGCATGTCAATAGCGCGTGATTGCAAAGATCGGGAATATGATTAATAGATACACAATGTACATTCGTATTGGAACATATTAAATCAATTAGAGTTTCACTATTTCCTATGAAATGAGTCGGCTGGTTCACATACTGAGTAAGTTTCATGTAGTTAAAGAAATTTTGTAGCTTTTGCGCGTTAGGTTTATGCGTATGTAACAAGTCAATATTGAAATCTCCAAGTAAGATGGTATGCTCGTAATTAGCTATAGAGGAAATCGAATCTGTAAGTGCGTCAATAAATTTGTCTACATTAAGCCAAGGGGGTCTGTATGCTGTACCAATAGCTACCTTGATACCATTAACATTGAGCCCTATCCATATCTGCTCAACAGAGTCATTGTTACCTATTAAAATTCTACGAGCAGTGATACCAAGCCTAATATAAAATCCCACGCCACCTCCTCGCATACGGACTTTAGTTGAACGTGGTAGGTGAACTAAGCGATAACCTGGTGGCGATGGTGCACGCTCTTCCTCACCTTGCTTAAGCCATGTTTCATTTATGGCTAAAATGTCCATGTCGAATCTCAATATCGCTGCGAGAAACTCATCATGGCGGGTTCCCAAGGAGCCAGCATTTAAAAACCCGATTGATAGTCTTTTATTTTTTTAAATTTAAAAACAAAAGCATACGAAATTTGGCAGTACTTACAATGATCTAAAAAATTGCACAGAAGTGTTAAATGACGCCATCCAATGGACCAAATAAAATAAATAGAATAATTGTTATTTTCATAGAGTATATGAAATAGTGTATCGAAAATGTGATTTATTAAGTGTATGTAGGTAACGTCAATATGTATGGGGAGAAAACAATGCAACGTGAGAGAATAACAACAATTAAATAAAGATTTACAATAAAAGTGGGTGGAAAAATGATTAGCATTAAAAATGAGATCATATTTAGGACCGAACAATACTATTGCCCAAAAACTTTAATTAAATCGCTTTCAAAGCGCACTCGATGATGGGGCTCACCGTTTTCTCTTCTAGCAAAAACTTTACCTTGCCGTGTCCAGACATACTTCCAATTATTGCGTTTCGCTTCTGTACGTACTTTATAAAATAGTTGACGATTATGTCTGGTTAGCCTTTCATTCACATAGAAGGGACAGTCGACGGAATTGAGTCCCAGACCAGCTGTAGTGCAGCCTCGACGGACTCGCGCCGCTGCTAGCAGACTATCGCGATGAACACGGCGTGCCAGCCGCACTACGATGGGGCGCGGCCTAGATGTCTCATTCTGCTCAAGCCGCAAAAGGCCTACACGCTCTGCACTTACTATATCGCGATCTTCTAGCGCTACACCTAATTTAGTTGCTACTGCCAAAACAATATGTGTAGAACGTTCATTTTTGTCTTCGGGTATTCCCGAGACCTCGATATCATTGCTTAAGAGTTCCTGGTCACGGTCATTAAGCTCAATTTTGAGATCCGTAATTGTTTTCTCGAAAAATGATATGTCATTGGACGTCTTTATCTGCGAATTTTTCTCCACCAGCTCCATTCGTGTCTCCAGGCAGTCAAGTCGCTGATTGCACGCATTTATTGCGGTAAGCAGGTTGGTCATCGTTCCCCTAAACTCTTGCATATCATTACGCATTTCTTTGATGTCTTGGCGCAAAAGTTTTAACTCATTTGCCAGATCACAAGTTGGCAAGTTAGGTGTTGATGATGCGGATGCTGAAATGGCCGTAGATTTCAGCTTTTCATTCGTGCGACTACGCAGAGTCACATTTGTACGTCCAATGTCTTGGTTGCTATTTGGTGACAATTGCAGGTTGTGTTTTATTGGTGTGTTGGTATTGTCAGTCTTAGGTTCATTGCTTCTACATTCCTGACATTTCCAGTTTTTCTTATTATCTGCTGACATAATATAAAACCGCTTTTCTGACACGTTTGTGCAAAGAAGATCATAATATTTACAACAAACATGACATTTTAAGTATTGCTTGTCGGTTATTTCTTGCGAACAACCATTGCATTGAATTTTATTTGGTACTAGTGGTGCCATCTCTTCCTCCACGTAAGCAACTCAAATGAAAATGGTGACTTTATCGACTTATAATCTGATCGGCTTAGTAACAAATGTCTATGGATGATTCTAGATGGCGTTGTTTGAAACAAATAAAATTTGAAAGGATTCAAACTTAATTTAACGGTCACCCAGAAAGAATAACTTTTGTAATATTATCTTCCTCGATCAGATTTTGAAGTTCACTTGAATTTAACAGTCCAGAACTAATACTTACAACTTCGATTATAGTCTTGTTCCAAACAAAATACAATTATTCGATTAAATATTTTTCAGCTAATTATCACAAAATATTCACACACACACGACAATATTCGTTGAAAATACTTTCACAGCTCAATTGTATCAAAATGCACTGATTGTAATAACTTTTAGATAAAATAACTCATAAATACTATTTTTAAGCAAATAATTGTACAGAGCCAATGTTACTTGAACGAATGCACGCCATCTATCTCCTTGCATTTACATTGCGCTTGAGGTTGATTTTGTTGTTGTACCCGCCCGCTAAATGAATACGCCCATTATCATAGGTACCGACGTACTCAACCGCGATTGTGTAGCGTTTATTCGTACGAAACCTAAACAATACCTAACCCACACACCGGACAGGGCGCTAAAAGCAAATACGGTGATGGTCAATGAGCCTCATAAAAAAATCAATACACCTCTCGAAGGTGCAGAACTTGCTAAGTTGATGACTGTCATAGGAGAATTCTCCCCGTTTTTGATATATGGTACAGCAACCACGACTGTAACTACCGGTAAGATGCCCATCAAGTTGACAAGTGACGTACCTGTAGCATACCATCCGTATCGTTTATCCTAATAAGAGAAACTAAAAGTTCGCGAGATATGTCAGGACCTTTTAGACAAAAAGATCATTAGGGAGTCTAAATCAGAGTACGCAAGACGGATCATTTTGGTCAAGAAAAAAGACGGCTCAGATAGAATGTGCGTGGATTTTCGTGCGCTTAACCGCATCACTGTCTGGGATAGGTACCCCCTACCCTTGATTGATGACCACATTGATCGACTTGGGGGCTTCAAATTCTTCACGTCACATGGACATGGACATGGCTTCAGGGTTCCATCAGATTCCCATCGATGAGGACTCTATCCATAAAACAGCCTTTGTGACTACTGAAGCCCATTACGAGTACATGAAAATTCCATACGGTTTGTGTAACTCTCCCACTGTCTATCAGCGCATCATCAATAATACCTTGCGTAAACTCATAGAAGCAGGGACAGTCCTCGTGTATATTGATGATGTTTTGATGACGAGCATGACTACCGAAGACGGCATCTCTTCGGATCTTTCGGAGGCCAGATTCTCCATCAATGTGCGGAAGTGTTCTTTCCTCAACACTAAGATTGAGTACCTAGGTCGTGTCATTAGTTATGGTCAGGTGAGGCCGAGCCCGCACAAAGTCGAGGCATTAGTCAACGCACCCACTCCTACTAACGTCAGGCAGGGACGCCAGTTCCTAGGCCTTGCAGGATATTTTCGGCTATATATCGAAGGTTACGCGACAAGAACCGCATGTATCTCGCGTCTCACTAAGAAAGACGTTAAATTTGAATGGGGATCTGATCAAGATCAAGTCCGACAAGATCCCATAAGGCAATTAACAAGCGAGCCCATACTTGTGATTTTTGATCCGAACCTTCCTACCAAGCTACACACCGACGCGAGTAGCGTGGGATACGGGGCTGTAATTATGCAGGTTTATGCGGACGGTGGTAAACGAGCGGTAGCGTATTTTAGTAAGGTCACTCAGGGTGCGGAGTACGAGTTAGAAACTCTAGCAGTCGTCAGAGCACTACAACATTTTCCTCATTATCTGATCGGTGTAAACTTTAAAATCGTAACCGATTGCAATGCCTTAAAGGCTACAGAGCGTAAGAAGGACCTCCTCCCAAGGGTTGCACGCTGGGGGATTTATATGCCGGACTTCAACTTTAAAATTGAATATCGTAAGGCTGCGATGATGGGCCACGCGGATTATCTAAGCAGGAATCCACCAACGTCGCAAGTCAATAACATCGAACGACCCCTGAACTGGGCACAAATGGCTCAATCAGCTGATTCTGAGACTCTCGACCTCATACAAAAGCTAAGGGATGGTCTCTTGGATTCCAGTCGGTATGTGTGTCAGAACGATGTTCTTTATTATCGCTACTCACCTGTCGGCAAGGAGTAGCGCTAACTGTGCTATATTCCCAAAGGGCACAGGCTCAGTTTGCTACGTGTTTTCCACGACGAGCATAAGCACATCGGGGCTGATAAAACGTTTGACCTAATTTTAAAACATTTTTGGTTCAAGGGACAAGTCTGATACATGGGATATGTCTGATGTCCCTTTTGACGCGGTTCATGTCGACGTATTAGGTCCCTTACCGGAATCTAACGGTTATAAGTTTGTACTTGTTTTTGTTGACTCATTTACGAAATTCTGCTTACTCTATCCTATGTACAGACAGGATACAAATGAATTATAACGAGTTTTTAATAGCGCAATATCTTTATTTGGGACGCCTAAACTAATAGTTTGCGAACGTGGTCGTATGTTCGAGTCGTCAGCTTTTACAAGCTGGGTGTCTGAATTGGGGTGTGATGCCCACTACGTAACTAAATCATTCCAATGGGCATGTAAGGAGCGTTATGTAAGGACTGTCCTTAATTTGATTCATGTCGAGAGTAATAACAAAAAATCAATTTGGTCTGATACTTTGTGTAAAATTCAATTAGTTTTAAACATAACAAAACAAAAAACCACACAGTATTCGGCTTTGTACCTATTGAACGGTACTAATGCGACCACTCCTGTCATTCGTGCGCTGGTCCGTGACATTGCCATCGAGAACTCCAGCTCTAATCGTGAAGCTGCAAGGGAACTCAGCAGGACCTCCGCTAAGGCGTCACTCGACAGGAATAGAGACGCTCAAGATACACGAGTGAATCGTCAAAGACATCCGCCAAGGAAGTACCCGGTGAACTATCAAGTATTTGTAATAAAGTACTATCAGTCCATTGGGAAACTTGATTCTGGAATGAGGGGTCCATACTGAGTTACCAAAGTGTTACCAAGCGATCGATACGAGTTGAAGTTTGTATCTGGAGCTAGAGACAAGACTACCCATGCCGCAGCTCAGTATATGGTGCCCTGGAAAGGCGAATGGTGTCCCGAGAGTTGCACTGCTTTTTTTGAAAGTAAGTTCCAACTGAAACTTTTAATATGTCTTCTTTTGTGTGTTACAGTAGCACGTGTGATATGATTACATGTGCGCGAGTGTGAGACGAATGTGTGCCTGGTCGGTACGGACTGTCGGGTCCAGCTGCGACATTGCCTGGCTTCAAAGGACGCGTGTCCTGCACGCGTGGCGGGTGCCGTCCCGGAGCGCACGCATGCTGTACATGGCGGTGCTGCGGGAAGTCTTGTTTTGTAAACATACATCAGGCGCTGTTCTACAGGTGCTGTCCTGGGGCGCTGTGAGCGTATTTATGTTTGAGTGCCTCGTATGTGTTTTGGATAAGAGAGTAGGTAGGAGTAATTACCAAGACAGCAAACCAAACACCGTTGGTTTGCTGTCTTGGTAATTAACAACTTGTTTTTTTTTTTACATAGACCACGATGATGACAACTCCGACGATGGCTGTGTACCCTCAGGTGCTCGTGCTACTCCCGTTGACGTTTCGGGGACAGACGAATCACACGCAAGCGGAGACGGCGAACCAAGTTCCACCACGTCTAGTGCTACAGCAGCTTCTGAAAAAGTGCAACCAAGCGGTGCACGATCAGGAGAGGCCGTATAAGCCGTTTCCCTCATTTTTTCGGTATGCAGCGTCGATCCCTGCCACTGGCTATAAAACCGATACCGCTCACTTGAGTGGGCTCTCTTTCTCCGGTCAGGAGTCGGTCAGTAAGGTGGTAGGCTTCGTCTCTGTGCAACAGTTGTAAGATCGGTCCATACTTTCTTTACGGTTTTTGTTTGAACATTGTAAATTTTTAAAGTGAACAAGAAGTTATTCGTTTAGTTGTTATTATTTCAAAGTCTAGTCGATTTATTTTTGAATTATTGTTTAAATTTAAAGTAAATTAGAATAAGTTCGTCACCATTTGTGTTTTATTGTTTTACACTTCTGGTTCCTAAAAATATATTTATAATATCAAAATAAAAATGTAAATATTTCTGTATTTTATCTCTTTATACCTAAATGAAAATTATTAAAGGTTTAAATTTATGTGTACGGTCACATTGTGAACACGTACATAAATTTAAACTAAAAAATATAACATTTTAAAATTTAAGGATTCTACTGGCCACAAGGCTGAAACAAATAAATGCCTGTGCCTTAGATAAATTAAAAAAACTAAATGTCATTATCTATGCTTGAAGCTGGCTATTGGCCAATTTTTTTACCCGCCCCCCTACTCTATATATATATATATATATATATACGAGCTGACCAGGCAGACGTTGTTCTGCCCTTTCCGTCGACCATTTGCTTTCCTAAAAAAACTCCTTAGAATAGCAATAAAAAATTGAGGGTCACATCTCAAATATATTAATTATTTAAACTGCACCCATGTAGTTCAGAAATAAAAAATAGTTAAAGATCGCTTACCTTATAACGTCGGTATTACTTTAAAAGTTGATAAAACCAAATTTGTTAAGTGTCGAATGCACCCAATAAATTTAAACTTAATAATTTTAACACTTAATAAATTTGTTTTTAGTAAATTTATGAGCTTATCATAGCATTTAATGCATTTTTAACGATGGTGCAATTATATTCAAACAAGATACAGTTTTTTTATATTGCAAAAAGTATCCAATTCTAACCGTTTGAAGTAATACCGACGTTTTGAATTACTCAAAATTCGTAGGCTGTGGTAGGGGTTGTAATTTTTTTTGTAGGTAGTTCGGAATACTAATTAGTCTATGTACGGAAAACGGTTGTCTGTGCCATAGATATAGTATAAAAACATCTATGGTCTGTGCGCGTAGAGGGAGTATGTGCTCTCTCTACGTCTGTGCGCTATGTAGTACTTCTCTGGTACCTATACAGTTATCTGTATGTGTGATTTGCTTTCCGCGTGAACAGATTTAGCATTTTATTTCATTTTCAATATATTTTATCGATTTTTCCGAACATCAGTATATTATAGGTACATTGCCGGATGTCAGTATTTTTGGGTATATTTTAGACAAGAATATACGGTAACAACGTAGCTATCAGGGACTTCAGGGATTCTACATCTTATTTAGGAGCACAGATCAATAAGTTACAGATAGAATATGACAGGTGGCCGCCGTTGCAGGATTAATAACACTGCTGTGTTTCGTATGGTGAGTGTAGATAACCGGAGACCCTTTTTACTGGAGGAGACGCATTCCATTTTAGTCATCACGGGTGACAAAGCATCTGCATTTTGATTTTTTATTGGGGATAGATATAGATTTCTATGGGCCACAACAACCACTTACCGTCCGATGGACTGTGTGCTCGTTTGTCACCCTATCCTATAAAAAATTGGTAAAATTAAATCTAGTCACACTGTATGCTTTTGCAAGTTGAGATCTTCCGGTTTATATAAAGAAGTCTGTACTCTGTTTGCCTCCTGGCAGCTTGGGCCGAATCTTCTCCTTGTTCATAATTTGCCTTAGTTAGGCGCGCCTCTCAGCGGCTACTCGCCACCTACGCCCCCTTTCCCTAAGCGGGGTCACTTCCAATACGGCAAAAAGGCCATACAGGGCAAAGCCAGTCTCACAGGTGGTGTTTAGTGGATAAGCACTTCATAGTGTGTCCCATATAACCCCGCATCCGGCTGCGTGGTATGCTAACAGCATTCACCACCTCCCTCCCCCGCTTCCCGGAGGGTAGCCCCTTGCTTTGGGCGCAAAAAATACTGTGTATGTCTTGAGAATCGTTGGAGTTTGTGGGAACCTGACCGGTGGCGGATTGAGGCTCCTGTATTATTGTTTAAATAATGGTTTGAAGTGGATTTTGTTATGTAAATGTGGTGCGATTTTGTGTATTAAGTGTCTGCGCATGTGAACTATTAGTGGAAACGGTGTAACAAGTGCTCTGGTGGTGATGTGATTCTCAAGATAAGGTGTCTGTTTGTTTAGGCGCCTTGAGATACAATCGCCAACTGTCAGCAGTGTGCTGGCTCCAGTTGCCGTCAAAATCTCCCAAGGGCTGTACAATGTGACTCAACAACAAGTTGTGAAGCACTGTAATATGAAGAAAAATTATACATTGTAACTTCAGGCTCAGAAGGGCTAGAATCCAGAGCCGTAAAGCCAGTTTAAAAAAAAATGAAAACCGTTTAGTTAAATTTTAATTAGATTTTGTTTATATTTTATAATTTTTAATTTTATTCTTAATTCGGTTTCATTTTTAATTTAGTACATACTACATATAGGATTTCTTGTAAAAATAAGTGATGAAGAAATTAAAAGGTTTATAGCGGCAAGAGGACAATGCAAGTCAATTATAACGAAAACCGATATTTACTTGTGTGATCAGTAAAATCCGATTTCGAAGTTTTGAAAGCCAAAGATTCTCTCATCATCGTTCCGTGATTATTCAGCTAAAGATATCAATATACGGTTGCTGGACGGACAATGTAGTAGAATTAGGCGAAATAGTGGAGAAATTATTGTCTCATTCTTGCGCGTTTTAACACAATTATCTCCGTTAATTGCGCATCTACAGGGTATCGTGCAGAGATTCGCGATAAGGCTTACAATGATACCAATAATCCAAGCCAGAGTTCTTTTTGAATAAGCAGGACCTTTAGTGGGAACACAAGTGGGTACCTATTATCTCTATGAATTTATCTTTTTCACTCTAGTTATTTACGAAAATGAACAATTTTCATAGTTGGTCCAGTTATATTATATAACTACTAAGGATTAGTAAGCTGATGTGGTTATGGGTCGGCGATATAGCTCGAAGAAACTACAAATGAAGGGGAAGAAAGTATCGTGTGGCAACCTCGAACTTCACTAGATGCAAGTGATGACCTGGTAAGACATGCGGGAAGTCGATGGATGCAGGTGGCTCAGGACCGTGCTTTGTGGCATTCCTTGGGGGAGGCCTGTGTTCAGCTTTGTTGGACTTGTGAAGGACTGTAATGGTGATGTTGATATTTCTACTACCTTTTTTAAGAGAGAAGATCTAGATGTCATTAGACTTTTGGCTCTTACTCTTGAAAATTATACAATTTTGACTTATATAAGCAACAATAGGACAACTAACCATGAGTTATTATCCACCATGTTAACCAAATCTTAGATATTAATAATATAACGTTTAAAAGTTTAGAGCAATCAATATTAATATTAGGATAAATTGTATTTTGTAAAGAAAGCTTGATCATTATACTGTGCGTTAATTTTACTTGAAAAGGAAATGGTTAAGACCATGCCAGACTTGTAATCTTTTTAAACATTTCTAGAAAAAAGGGCTTTGTCACCTCAGAAGCCTACTCTAGCTCCCACTAGCGCTCCTCATGTCTGTTGCTCAAGCTGATAAGGTTAAGAAAACAAAATGTAAGTATTGCAAAACATATTCTCACCGTGTTCATGTTTGCTATAAATTTAAATTAGCCAATTCTAAAGATAGAATTGATCTCAAAAAATATATGTATGTATATAGTGTTTGCTTTTATGAACATCCTGGAAAATGTAGGTTTAACATTAAATGTGCTATTTGAAAGGCCAATCATAACAAGCTATCAGAATACCAGTGTATAATAGCAGCTTAACACTGCTGTGTTTTGTATGGTGAGTGTAGAGTACCGGAGACCCTTTTTACTGGAAAAGAGGCATTCCATCTTAGTCCTCAAGGCTGAGAGCATTACTGTATTTTGATTCACAAATGAGGATAGATTTAGATGTCTATTGGCCACAGCAACCACTTACCATTAGGTGGACTGTATGCTCGTTTGTCACCCTATGTCTATAAAATAATAATAATAAAAAAAGCTCTTGCATGACTCTTGTCAGCAACTTAGTATTAGCAGGTCTGTGCCACACTGCGCTTTAGGTATGAAAATATATCTACGCTGCCAAGCATACAGGGCTAATTCTGTGAGGTTGTTACATGTCCGCTCGAGCTGACGCACTCCTTACATTAACATAAAAATTATTTTTCTCTAAATTTAAATTTCTGTAAATACTTTACACACTTTTGTGCCATTCAATCCAACAAAGACGTTCACATTGTTGTAATCTTAATCTTCCTCGATGTTGCATATTAACCTTTCCCACATTTAAACAATAAATTTTTTATAATCAGCAAATTTATGGCTCTGTGGCGCAGTGGCTTAGCAGTGAGTTGAAGGGTCGCAGGTTCGAATCCCGCACGGAGCAATTATTTGTATGGCCTACAAATCATTGTTCCGGGTCTAGATGTTTGTACTTGTGCAATTTGTGTGTCAACTGCCTCCCAGAAAATCCCACCCACACACTAAAAGTTGCTTGGTGTGGGATTGAAACCTGCAGCTTGTGGGGCTACAACTCATTGCTAAGCCAATGCGCCACGGAGTCGTCGAGAGTAGGGTTATCTTGTATTCCCAATGAAGTTTTACTTCCAGCTGCTGTTGTAAAAATAAGAATAAATGGGTAATAAAGGTACGAGCATTGCTCGACTCTGGCAGTCAGGTTTCATTTAATTTTTCACATTTGGTTGATCAAATTCATTATCATTGAGGTAGTGAAAATAGTACTGTGAGGGGAATATACAGTGGTGTTAATAAAATCAAAGAAAAGCCACACTTATTGTCCATTTCTGTATTAATAATTTTATATTAAAGGTTGATTGTTGTATTGTGGATAAAGATACAGATCACAGATAATATGTCACAGTTTAATATTGATAAAGAAAATTTAAGTTTGCCAAAGAATATTGAGTAAGCACTGATAACCAGTTTTATGGGATAAAACTAAAAAACTAATTTTATGGATTTGATGTCCTGATGTCATAGTTAACGAAAATTGCCTTCAACTTTACCCTGACCATGGGTGTGTTAAAGTGCTCAAAAACATTGGTACTTAAAAAAGTTAAAAGTAAATCCATAAAATTATTATAGTTTAATTTATTGTGTAGTATTTGCGTTAATATAAGACATCATTAAATAGTTTCGTGTTCAAAGTCCAACCTCCATATTATTGTGTTGCGATATGTTCTTCCAGGCGCTGCTTCGTCAAGATTGCTTAGCTGCAAAACTTCAGTGAGTGTCCTTGCAGAAACTTCAATACAAACAGCTGTTTGTCTGCAAGCAATGACACAAAGGTTGGTCAGTTAGATATCAGGAAGTAAATAAAACTTTATTAAATGGAAATATTGGAATAGTAACTACTTATGAAATTTTATATAATAAAAGTACATTAAAATAAATAATAGTATAAACAACAAGTATTTATTAATTTTGTAAAAGGGCTGAATAACCTAACCTAATCCTACTAGGCTTTGCCATTGCCTCTAACAGGGCTTATGAGGAGCTAAAATTCAAAATGTGATTTGTCACTCAGGTCAGATTGTTGGGAATCCAATTAAAACTTTAATATAATATATAATAAATTAAAAAAAAAAACTAATTATGACCTTTTTATCTCTTTCTGGTAGTTTTTAGACATATTTCATTTTACAAATAAGTTTTAAATAGCTTTGGACTCAACGTAAAGACATGCTAAGAGGCTTATTGGTGACCTGAATTTGGTTAAAACCAATCTTACCAGTCTCGAACAAGTGCAAAGTAGCCAGCCTTTCGGTTTTCTACAGGATGCATTTTGGAGAGTGTGCGCAGGAATTGCATAATTTAATTCCTCCCTCTCCCTTCCACCATCGGACAACCAGACGTTCGGCCAGACTCCACTCCTACGTTGTTGACTTACCACGCTTTTAAACCAAACGGTTTGCTGCATAGTTCATCATGCGTACAGCAAAGGAGTGGAATAATGCCATCAGGTGGGATTACAGTTAAGCGCTGGCTTAGAATAATAAAAAATATATATTGTACCATACAAAATTAGATTGTTTTTTAACAATTTGATGTTTTGAATAAATGGATATGTAGAAATCACATTTTGCTTTATGGTTGTATAGAAAAAAGGTAAATCTACTCAGCTCATTTTAGGTAACAATAAATAAATTAAAATATAATTTTTCCTTATAGTATTCTTTATTTAAAAAAATTGTCGAATTTGAATTGTAATTTCTTCTTCCAGGCAATCACAGAAAACTTCAGTAGGATTTTTCACTGTAGGAGTATCCAAAATTATATGTTTATACCATTGGAAGTATTCCTTGTTCAATGATTGTCAATCACCAAACATACAAGTTAGCAGTTTGTTCACATTATTTTTCTTTTCTTGTGTGATCCCATGTCCAAGTGGGATTTCTTGGAGCCGATGTGATATAATGTGATCCCTTTTCACTTCCCGTTTCAATAAATTTATAAACGGTTCATTATCATCATGAAATTAAAATACTTTGCTCCTTTTACACAAATTGTTTTTTGCTCCTATAAGACGAAGTGTTATTTAAAAATATTCTTTTCATTTCGCTCATCATGTTTTCGTATCCAGTAGCATCCAATCTTAATTTTCTTAAATTTCCTAATATTCTTGCTTGGAAAGAATTGTCTGCTTGCATCTCAGTAGTTTTTCTACTCTGCCAAATATTTTATTTATTTATTCTTTTTTTACATCTACCTTATAATAAGGGATATAAAGGGCGGACTTAATGCCTTGTGGCATTCTCTAGCAGCCAACCCTGAATGATATGATAAGCTGTGGTAAGTGCAACACCACTCCATAAATTAATAAATAAGTAAAAACATTATATCATATAACAAAAAGCAAATAAATAAAATATTTTTAAACTATTCAAACTTAATATCTACTAAGTAATAAAGAAAAAAAAATTGTAAATATATAAATGGATACTTATATATACCAAATCTCTAAATAAATATAAAATAATATAACACAAAAATAAAATAACATGATGCATATTAAAATACATATTGTACAAAATATCGAAAGGGAGAAAAACAAAAATCGGATAAAGCAGGTGGTATTATTTCTGTTAAGGAATTCTCGAACTAGTCTTTTAAAATAATGTTTGTTACTGATTTTTTTGATATGAACAGGCAAGGCATTCCAGAGCAGTATGGACTGCACAGTAAAAGAGGAATTAAAGAAACCACTCTTATGTGGTGGAATACCAATTTTAAGACTATTTTGGGAACGGGGAACTCAATCATCATATTCTATCTGCGGGCAAGAAACTGTGGCCGTTCACAGGGAAAAACATCTGAATATCTTGAGTCGCATTGTCAGTGGTCTGCATAGAATGCATAACTGTTCTTAATACAATATTATTTTTATTCTGAGCCAAACAATTGTTACTGAACAAACGTAATACTTTTGCATCATCCATTTTCATGTGATGTAAATGATGGTATAAGGCAGAAGAAATCTCTGCACTACCCTCACCAGCTTAAAAACCAATCTGCCGACAGTAGTAAGCCTCTTGGACAGGTGACTTTGGTAATGGTTGTATTTGTTGGAGGTCAAAACAGATGGTCTTTGTATCAGGAACTTCTTGTTTCAAATGCTTATAGAAAGCCTTTGCTCTCTTTTTACGTATGAGTTTTTCTGTCATTAAAGAACACTTAGTTTGTGAATTTGAAACACTTTTAATCTTGTTAGTAAGTAGTGTACGGTGACTGAAAACATCTTAAGCAGGAGATTTAAATCCAATGTTAAACTGTTACAAAAACTTTTCGGAACGTTGATGACTTAACTTTTAATTGTTAGGCGCAGCTGTCAATGTAAATCGTCCATAATTTTGAAATACTTAGTTCACAACTTAGATACACTCGTTAGGGCTATCGTAGCCTCTGAACCTTCCATTAAACTGTCCAATACTATTTTTATTTTCTTTTGATTGGCTACTCACTCTGTCTTCTTCTCTGTTTCCTTTTATTCCTTTTCCTGCATACACACCATGACTAATGTTATTAAATAAATTGTTATTGAAGTGTGTTACACTCATAAAAAACTTTTTTCATACATTGTTACACGGTTTCCCTATATTAAATTATATTTTGTTGAAAATGCATGGGCCGTGCCACTTTTTTCTTTTTGTTCCTCTCTGTGGATCTCGGTATCCTTCATTTCTGCCGACTTCCAAAAAGGAGACGGTACTCAATTCGACTGTATGTTTTTTTTATGTGTGCCGATTTCGACGATTCTTTTTTTATTTCAAAGCTGGTACTTCTCGTGTGGTCCCATATGAATTTGATCAAGGTTAGACCAATAGTTTGCTGAGTTATTCTTAATAACTTATATTGAAGTCGGCGGTACAAAATTTATAATTTTAAATTATAACTATTGTGATGGTAAGTAAAGAAGCGATGATAGAATCCTGTCGCAGTTTGTTAGGTGTTTTAAAAAGGTCATCTCGAACAGTATTTACATCATTACTATTATCAGCGTCCAAGGTAGCTGTCCATCAAGTCCACTCCCCCCATGTGCATGTTATATTCTTCGACTATCTTTGGACAGGGTATATCTATATTTTGTTTAGTCTTCTTATCGTACCGACCGACTGTTGTGGCAGGTTCAGCACCTACATATGTAGATAAAAGCGTGACAACTCTGTTGTCTTTCCATGCAGTTGCTGAAAAGTCGACACCATCGTAGTGAGTAATTTTTTCAGAAACAGTCGCCTTCGTATTCCTTTTTCTCAGGGAGTTGACAATTTGGGAAGCTATTTTGCTGTACAGTTCCAAGGCTGTGAATGCCTTGTTTAGCCAAATGAAACATCAAAGGCAATGAGGTATAAAAATTGTCAAAAAATATGACCATCCTTGGAACAACTCTAGCCAATCGCAGTACAACGTTGCTTGTTACGCCTAAATCTGGTTCGTCTGCTTGTCGGTCTCTTTTGTCTTCTTGGCCAGAATATACTTCAAAACGATATGCATGGCCCATGAGATTACATAAAACGAATAGTTTGTAACCCCACTTGTGGGGTTTATTTGGCATCATCATCATCATCATCATCATTACAGCCCTTCACAAGTCCACTGCTGAACATAGGCCTCCCCCAAAGAATGCCACAAAGCACGGTCCTGAGCCACCTGCATCCATCGACTTCCTGCATGTCTTACCAGGTCGTCACTCCATCTCGTGGGGGGACGCCCTACACTTCGCCTACCGGTACGAGGCTGCCACTCGAGAACCTTTCTTCCCCATCGGTTGTCGGTTCTTCGAGCTATATGGCCGGCCCACTGCCACTTCAGCTTACTAATCCGTTGGGCTATGTCGGTTACTCTGGTTTTACTGCGGATATCCTCATTCCTAAGTTTATCACGTAGAGAAACTCCGAGCATAGCCCTCTCCATAGCTCGCTGAGCGACCTTGAGCTTCCTCATACGGCCAGCAGTGAAGGACCACGTCTCAGTTCCGTAAGTCATCACTGGCAACACGCACTGGTTGTACAATTTCGTTTTCAGGTTTTGAGGTATGTCTGACGAGAAGATGTGTCGTAGCTTCCCGAACGCTGCCCAGCCGAGTTGAATCCGTCGATTGACCTCTCGGTCGAAGTTGGACTTACCTAGTCGGACTATTTGCCCCAGGTAAACATACTCGTCAACAACTTCGAGCTTAGTGCTCCCAACAACTACCGGCATAGGTGTGACATGGACATTGAACATGATCTTTGTTTTGTCCATGTTCATCTTAAGACCTATCCGTTGGGAAACACTATCGAGGTCATTGAGCATAGTGCTTAGGTCCTCCAGCGATTCTGCCATAAGGACTATATCGTCGGCAAATCGAAGGTGAGTGATGTACTCGCCATTGATGTTGTTACCGTATCCTTTCCAGTCCAGAAGCTTGAAAACGTCTTCCAATACAGCGGTGAAGAGTTTCGGGGATATGACGTCACCCTGTCTTACACCTCTCTGCAATTGGATAGGTTTCGTACTCTGGTTCTGTACTCGGATAGCCATCGTAGCCCTACTGTACAAGTACTTCAACACTTCGATATACCGACAGTCAACTTGGCACCGCTGAAGGGACTGCAGCACCGCCCAAATTTCGACGGAATCAAAGGCTTTCTCATAGTCCACATACGCCAGACATAGTGGCAAATTGTACTCTTCGGACTTCTGTACAATTTGCCGAAGGGTATGTATGTGGTCTATGGTGCTAAAGCCCTTTCGGAAACCGGCTTGTTCGGGAGGCTGGAAGTCGTCAAGTCTGCGCGCGAGACGATTCGTAATGACTCTCGAAAACAGCACGTAGACGCGGCTCAGAAGGGAAATCGGTCTGTAGTTCTTCAAGAGAGCGTTGTCACCTTTCTTGAAGAACAAGACCACCGCACTTCTGCTCCACGCCTCCGGTGTAATGCCACCATGGAGGACGGAATTAAAGAGCTTCTGAAGGATTTCAAGTACCGGTTTTCCACCCGCTTTCAGAAGCTCCGCTGTAATTCCATCCTCGCCTGGGGCCTTACCGTTTTTAAGGTGCTGGAGAGCCATTCTAATCTCGCTCAGACTGACGTCCGGGATATCTTCGGAATAGTGTCGGATGAGACTCGCTCTTGGATCGTTACTCACACTTGCGTGTGGCTCCAACGATGACGTGTACAGCTGCCCATAGAACCTCTCAATCTCACTCAAAATCTCAGGTGTCCCGGAAACGATGCTGCCACATTCTGTCTTCAGCTTTGACAGTTGGCTCTTTCTGGCAGACAGATCTCTGGCAAAGACTTTGGAGCCTTGGTTCCGCTCGATCGCTTCTTCAATACGAGCTGTATTGAAGTTGCGTAAGTCCCGCCGCATGCATTTGGAGATCTGTCTGTTCAGATGCCTGTATGCTGTCAAGTCTGTTGAAGAATGTAGCTTCATCTCCCGTCTAACAGCCATGAGATTAAGAGTGTGATCGGAGAGTTTTTGTGTTCTTCTGCGGCGGGTCTTGCAGAACTTAGCTCCGACCGCATGGACAGTTTCCACGAGCTTGTCATTCATATCGTCCACTTCATTGCAGTCTTCTAGACACTGAAAACGGTTTTGTAACTCGAGCTGAAAGGTTTCGGGACTTTGGAACAGAGCACGAGGGGGACGGAGCGTTGACTTCATTAGACGAGACCTCTTCAACTTAACATTTAGGTTCAGTGTGCCTCTAACCATTCGGTGATCGCTACCAGTTTTCACCCTCGCGATCACGGAGACATCACTGAACAGTTGTCGTCTGGTCATCATAATGAAGTCAATCTCATTTTTTGTCGAACCGTCGGGGCTCGACCAGGTCCACTTCCTGTGGGGCCGCTTCTGGAAGAAAGAGTTCATCATAAAGAGTCCCTCTTTCTCCATGAAGTCGTTTGTAGGTTCTCCTAATTCTAAGTCGTCGCTGCTGCCCCCTTGGGTTCCGTTGCCCTATTCCAAATTTCCCTACTTTCAGCTCACCGTTCTCTCTTGTGCCCAGTTTTGCATTGAAGTCTCCCATTAACACCGTATATTGGGTTTTGGAGGAATGCATGGCTCTAGAGATATCCTCATACATTTCCTCCACCTCCTCATCGGGGTGTGCCGAGGTTGGTGCGTAAACCTGTATGACCTTCAGCGAATACCGTTTGGTGATTCTGAGTATAAGGTACGCAACCCTCGTCGACACACTCCCGATCTTTACAACGTTGTTAACGAGAGACTTGTGGACGATAAATCCGACACCTCCTTGGGACAGATGGTCGCCCTCCCGGTGATAGAGCAAGTTGCCGGATTCGAGGATTACCGTGTCCTCCCCCTCTCTTCGGACTTCGGATAATCCTATAATATGCCAGCGCAACTTGTCTATCTCTTCTTCCAGCTCCACGATCTTCTCGTCAGTCCTCAGGGTGCGTGCGTTGTACGTTGCCAGGTCGAGTCGTCTAAGGTGGCAACCGAACCTCCACCGGAGATTCTTAGCACCCCCTGCCCCGCCGTTACCATGGTCGCCACCGTAGCCAGGAATAGCGGGGCCGCCGGGGACTGGGGGCCTTCTCTTTGTTACATTCATAGGGGGGTATTTGCCATAGTTGCCACGCTTGGCGAGCGGGTTGGCAACCGCAGTTTTTTTATTGTAATTTTGGCTATTATCAGGAAGATGCTGCTGCCCATCTCCTGTCTGTTTCCCTTTGTCGCCTTTTACGACACCCACGGGAGGATATGGGGTAGTGGATATTCTTGACCGCCACTACACGGCACACAGTGTATTTGGCATACACTGTTTTAAAAAGTGGAAGTGGACTGAAAATTTTCGTAGAGCACATTTGCTCATCGATGGAAAGGCGCTGGTCTATGGCTATTGAAGAAGAAGTTTTATTCAGCTGGTCTATTACAGGTCTAATCTTATGTAAGCGGTCATGGTCTGGATGCTCCTTTGGAAGATGTTTGTTATTGTCATTGAAGTGTAAGTGTCTTTTAATAGCCTCAAAACGGTTAACTGGCATAACTTTCGTAACGGTCGTAACCAAACTTCTCATTCCAATAAGAGCGGACACTGGGAAAATGTTCAACAGATATAAATAATAAGATACCTAGATATTTTTTTAGTTCGGCGTCACTTATTGAAAATGATTTTGTAGGATTTTGTTGTGTGGCATATAAATTTGTTTCATTTACTATTTTTTAATGAATTCTGGCGTGAAATAATTTAGGAAGCACCTGTATGGTGTATCGAGGTCAGCTATCTCAGGGTCTGTAACACTGGCTTTATGTGTAAGATTAGATTCGTTAAAACCTAAACTGTCTGTTTTCCAAATTAGTTTTCTTTTGTCGAAACAAGAATTCAATAAATTTTGATTTCCTTGCCTAGGTTCAGGCTCGTGCACAGGATCTGCCTCTTCATCCTGAACATGTGGAGGATCGTTATCATCATCAGGAGTATCGACGTTCTCTTCTTCTAAATCGTGGATAATTTCTCGAACATTGCTATAAAAACGTTGCTCATCATCATCCTCGTCTTCCAAGCCATCATCGGAAATATTACCACTTTCCAAAGCAGAATAGATCTTCTATATCTCTATCTCGAAGTGACATTCTGTAATATTGAATTGCAAAGTTATAACATAAGTATAGCCAATAGTTTAATTTATACAATGAAAGTAAACTAAACCATACAACTAATATTTGCTAAGATGTGCTTATAATCACCTATAGATCGTACAAAATGAGAAAAAATAAAAGATTATAAAATCTGTAAATTCACACATGGTAACCGAAAGAGTAGTGGTTAAAAGAGACCGATTTTGCATGATGATGTATTTCTACATCACTGTTTTAAGCCTGGTACACATGCAGCGACTTTAATCGACGGTGACTCGCTAGCGACTTATGACTTTTGTGTCTATATTATAGCGATTTATCAGTATTCGTTTCGCAGTAGAAGGCAGTAGACGCAAAGAGTATAATAATATATAGGGGAAAGTAGATGTGTATACCGGTGTCTGTTATTCACCTTTTTTATTTGTGAACGTTTCTTTGTAATGTCCGAAGAAAGGCGTCGAATGTTACTATCGCTAGCAGCCGTTTGCATATATGACAAAGAGAGAGAAAAGAAAAATAGAAGATGTTGGGCGAAAAAATGGTTACTTCAAAGACCAAGATATTCGCATATAAATTTAATGGCCGAGCTAGCACTACAAGAACCGAACGATTTTAGAAACTATTTACGAATGGACTCTTGTACATATCAACAGTTGTTGTCTCTGTTGGAGCCAATGCTAACAAAACAAGATACGTGCATGAGAAAAGCGATAACAGCTCACGAACGATTATCAGCTACATTGCGATTTCTAGCAACCGGACGATCTTATGAGGATTTACAATACAGCGTTGCAATATCTAAGCAATCTCTAAGCAAGATAATTCCAGAAACATGTGATGCGATCATAGCTACATTGCAAGAAGAATATTTAAAGGTAGGTTTAAAGGTGCTTTTTAGTAAAACTAAACTTTTCTGTTACGTATTTACTATGTGCTAACAGTTAAACATTATGGTTGAAAATTATTAAAATACATCGTAAGCTTTTGAGATGTTTTAGAATTGAGCAATCGGGTTTCTGCAATTTCTAGTGACTGATTGTTCGTCTCCTGAGGAACATGAATTAATTGACCACTCACAGGATCTATCAAAAGGCTTTGTGAAAAAGTATCATCAGTAGTAGCATTTGAATTATGAGCACTTTGAACATTTTCATTTTTAGAAAGCAATTGTATATTAACATTATGATTTACATCAATACGACTTTGACGAGTGAGGGAATTCATTCGTGCTTCAAAGAAAACGTCGTTAATTAATTTCTCCGCAAAAATTTGTTGATCATTTGGTAAACTCTTTAAAATACCAGCCCATGATTTTGCTGTATGTTCCCAGCGGTCTGTCGGAATAGGTTCGCTGAGATGAGCATTGATTTTACTAAGAATATCTTCTCTTGGTCTCTTCTTTTTTTTATTACTATCACGAGATGCCGTAGTAGACACTGTTGAGGGTGCTGGTGATTGCGTTGACTCCGAAAATATATCAGAATCTACATCTTCATTTCTATTTATTCCTAATTCCTCATCGACAGGTCCCTGAAATAAAATATAAATATAAATACCTATTTTTGTTCTAGTTTCCTGAAACTGAAGAAGAATGGTTAGAAATAGCAAAAACATTTGAAGAAAGGTGGCAGTTTCCTCATTGCTTAGGAGCTACAGACGGGAAACATGTAAAAATTGTGCCCCCAGCAAATAGTGGATCATACTACTTTAACTATAAAAAGGATTTCAGCGTTGTTTTATTAGCAATAGCAAATGCAAATTACGAATTTATAATGGTAGATATAGGAATTAATGGCCGAATATCTGATGGTGGAGCTATTAATAGAAGTATATTTTATGAGAAACTAAACACAGGATCCTTAAATATTCCTAGGGTAGCAAGGATAATGAATAGTGAAACTGTTTTGCCATACGTCTTCGTGGGGGATGATGCATTTTCTTTACGCCCAGATTCGATGAAACCTTACCCAGGTCCATACTTAAGTCCTCAACAAAGAATATTCAATTATAGACTATCAAGAGCCCGTCGCATTATTGAAAACGTTTTTGGTATTTTAGTCAATCGATTCCGAATATTCAAAACTTCAATCAATTTAGATGTGAAAACCATTGACAAAATAGTAATGGCAGCATGTATATTGCATAACTTTTTACGTCGAAATTGTAATCAATATATCCGAGTGGGTGTGGATATTGAAAATTTAGAAGATGGCAGCATAAGCACAGGTTACAGAGCCAACAACGAATTGTTAGATTTACAAATAACGAATCAAGGTCAAAGTCAAACCATGGCTAGATATGTTCGAGATCAATATATGCAATATTTCAATAATGAGGGTAGTGTTTTGTGGCAAAACCGTTTCACTAATTTAAATACCTTTACATAATGTTATTTGATAACAATATGAATAAACAAATATAGTATACGAGTCCTAAAGCATAAATTGTATTTTTATTTCGCATCTTACCAGATCTTTGTTTCCTATCATAATGTTAGTTATTGAACTTCTAGTCGTCTCTTGATCTTTCAAGAAGTTGAGTAAATCATAATACCATAATGATGGAGTAGGAATATCTTCCACAGCCATTCCGGATTTCAAGCTTTTTTCAATCTTTTCGTGTTGTCTTCGCCAAACATCCCTCATATTTAAAAATTTTTTTTATCACAAAATCTCGATCAGCGTTTGGCTCCACCTCCTTAAATTTTCCCACTAATATCTCATAGCTTTGTGACTTTAAATCTCTGTTTGAGTAATCTTTACTCTTAACCATTCATAATGAAGGTAATTCCCGGTATAATTCTATAAATTCAGTTACAAAAGCCCGAGAATATTTACGTAGGTCCGCCATTTTAAAATCGCTCACGCACGGCGTACACGTCCACACAGCAACGATGTCGCTGGCGACTGTTTGGCGACTGTCGACTTTTCAGATTTACAGCGATTCGATCGCCGCATTGACAGCGACTATAAATCGCTGCTAATATTCACGTCCACACACAGATTTTGACATCGCCAGCAAGTCGCTATCGATTAAAGTCGCTGCCGTGTGGACCCTTCTTTAAATAAAATTATTCGTAAAATTATTGCAGTTTTGACCAAACTATGATTATAATTTAATACACTTACCTTAGTTCTTTGTAGAAATCATTTTTTTATATAATTTCTTTTATATTTATTCTCAAAACACCAAAAACTTGCGAAAACGAAGTGATGCAAAAGGCGGGAACAGTGAAAAACAAATGGCAATAAAAAAAATAAAACTTGTCAAAACTTTTATGATTCGTTCAGAAGTCAACTAATAATGTTGCTAGTGTATAAAAGTGTTGGAAATATTTTGGTAGTTTTTAACATAAAAGAGAAAATGTTGCCAAAACAAAAAATGTGTATCTACATCACTATGCATTAAAGGGTTAAGTTTATTTATTTTCTTGAAGCTTCAGCCAAGCGAATACAATCATAAAAAGTACAAAAAGTATTCACAGTAAAATATTATGGGTTTTAGTAATGTTTTTTTCTATTTTTACACTTTAGAGACGTAAAAATATTTTAAAAGTTATGGCCATTTAATCATCTATCCAAAAAGGTAATAATATCCCGCTTAAATCTATGAATAATAATAATAATAAAAGGCTCTTTTACTTAACGCAGGTAGAGAACGGCAAAGAATGATTGCTCTTAGGAACGAACTTGCATACTTTTAGTGACTTGGCGTCTGATTCCCCACTTACCTACCTACCCATTCCGCGAACTTAAAGACACACCCTCGTATGATACGCAGTAGATACATTTTAGAATGTGCAAATACATTATCATGATACTTCGTTATATTAAGGTCTTTGAAATTGCCGTTTTTTAAATTAACATAATTTTTTTTCTATATTTTTTTATTTCTATCAAAGTAATCACCCGTGCAATCGCTGCATCTTTGCCAACGCAGTGGCAGTTTATTGATGCCCTTGAAGAAATCAACTGGACGGGAGACCACAAATTCTTCAAAGGTATTTTGTACTTCTTCTCGGGTATTGCATTTTTTTCCGCTAAAAAGTAATCTAAATTCTGGAAAAAGTAGAAGTCCGTAGGTGCAAGGTTTGGTGAGTACGGTGGATGTCAGCTTCCAGCCCCAGCTTTTGGTAACTTGGAGACGAAGTTCCAAATTCAATATGAGGTCGCACGTTGTCGTGCAGGAGCAGCAGTGACGAGCGATTGACCAAAGCTGGTTGGGACGTGCGAGCTTTTCCATCTTTGTGTTCAGTTCTTCACAGAGCACATCTGAAGTAATGCTCATCCCATTTCGTAAGAAGCTGTGATGAATCATACCGGCGCTAGACCACCAAACAGTGTTCATCACTTTTCTGGGGGTGAGTTTTTGTTTAAGACATTGTTTAGGTGCAGAACCAGGATTCAACCAATTTGCTGAGCGCTTGCGATTATTATCAAAGAGAATCCATTTTTCATCGCAGTTAACAATGCGGTTCGAAATTCCTTCGTTTGTGTGTCTCTTGAGCAGTGCAAGGCACATCTCGATGCCTACCTCGCGTTGGCGATCATTGAGTTCGTGGGGCACCCATTTGTCAAGATTTTTTACTTTGCCAATTTGACGCAACACATTAATATGTCCCATCCATTAAAACAATGACTTTTCTTTCTTCAACCTTGCTTCCAGGGTTTCCGAACAATGGGAATGTATAAATTTCTTTCTGCAACTCCTATTGAAATGTGCTCCAAGCCCAGATGTTGTGGCATATAGTGTGCCACCATTAATTCTCTTACTTTCTTCATGTATTTGCTCAGCGTGCTTCTGCTTATATTTACTAACGTCGAAATCCTTTCATCGGAGTCTCATGTACGAAGTTTCAATA